TCTCTCCTCTCAAGTTCTTTCATTTCTTTTGCAATTGGACGGCATTGGGCTCAAGTTCATTCATTTCTTTTCGCAATTGGACAACATTGTACTTTTTGATGATTGTGGACTTCAAAAGTGGCCAGGATCGTAACATTGGTATCAGAGCGGATTCTACTTGTTGGCGAGAGTTGACTTGGCTGCCATAACCCTAACCCTAGTGGTAAGGGCTACCACTTAGGGTTAGAGCTGGAAGTTAGGGTTAAGTGGGGCAGCGTGGTAAAGGGAAGCTGCTCCCACCTGGCAGGGCCGTGTAGGGTCGACACTAGACCCGGCCAGGTTGTTTGAATGCATGTTTATGGTGGCGAGACACAAGGTGGGACTTCGTAATGCAATTTGAGAGAGGCGACAGTGAAGGGCACCTACAACTTGAATCTGAACTTCAGGGAAGTCGAGGAGTGACTTTAGGGCTCCCCTCAAGTAGGCGAGCTTGAGGGTGGCAGCCATATCTGCACCTACGGACTGCAAGTTGCTGCTTTGATCTTCAACATCGACGGGGGATCCGGCTTTGTACTTTGGGGTAGATGTTGACCCTCCTAGATGATAGGACACCTTTTAGAGGATGCTAATTGGGTTAGGAGGACTATGTGAGAGGGGGGTGAGCTTTTCATCTCAAGAGCCCGGCCACTCAGGTAAGTGTCGTGCCACCAGGGTGCCCATGTGTGTGTGCATGGAGTTGACTCCCTGTTGGGGTTCTCTGGGTTCTTCTTCCATCCTCCATAGTCTTGATTGTGTGTGAGGTGTGTGAACTGCCTACTCACCTGATGAGTGAATGAATGGAGTATCTTGTTTGCTATGTGATATCTTTCTACAGTGCTTTGTTTATTTCATTCTGAACGGCGGTAGTCTACAGGTTCTTTCTGGGGCAAAATTTCGTTTTTCAATTCAAGTAGGGACAGAGTAGGCCTCCGTGGAACTCTTGTTGGTTGGGACCCGGTTTTGACTCCACTGGGACCATTTGGGACTCAGTGGGACCGGGCCCAAACAAGAAGGGCCCCTCAGGCCAAATCTGTTGACGTCAGTTACCTTGCTCTATCTGATAGGGATACGGACTCTATGCTTTCGGACCAGGACACTCGCTGCGGAGGGGATCTCCGCTGGGACGTTTTATCAGACTTTACCTCGCAATCCGCCGCCTGACTCGCACCTTATACACCACTCAATTCTCTCTTGCATTTCGCTGTACATCTTGAATCTGATTTGCTGTGTTTTCACGGAGCTGAGGTTGGCTAGGCTTGGGAGAACCCCATACGTAGGCAGTCCAGATTGTGTGGCTGGATCAGATCTCTTTGATCCTTTTTTTTTTGCTGTTTTGACTGGTCTCCAGTCCAAATGAATTGTCGCTCCGGCTAGGAGTTCTACCTTATCTTCTGAATGATTTCAAGCTGTTTCTTTCATTGGGTTCATTAATGTCTGCGTCTACACGGTCGCAAACGAGAGAGAGAGAGAGAAGAGAGAAGTTATTGAGTGTTGCTCTTGAGGGAGTGAGGAGAGGGAAGAGGAGTGTCGTCGCAAAGCTGAGAGGAAGTACGGACCCCTCTTGAGAGTCTTACTGACACCCTCATCCTCCATCATGGCATCTGCAGCAGATTGGAAACTGCAAATGGACACTGCCCCTGAGGCAGAAAAACCGCAGTATCAGTTCTTCTACGAGAAAGCCTTGAAGAGGGAGGAGGAAGAGAAAGAGAGAGAGAGAAAGGATAAGGTGCAGGCTCACGAGGCCGTCCTTAGCACCGTGTCCGCTCTGACTGATGAGGAGGTAGAAGAGAAAACGGTTCCCCTCCTCAGAGACTTAGCAGGGGTTAGGGTTGCTGAGGACCATACTGGCCAACTCGCACAGGTGTTTAAGCAGCTCAAGGAGTTGCGCGAAGACATGGCCAAGATGGCGCAGCAGCACCGCGATCAGCTGCAACAGTTTGCTAGTTCGCAGCAGGCTCAAATCGTCTCTTCACTCACCTACCCTGCCTCCAATGCTGCGTGTCAGTCCAGTTTTGCTCCTCTGACTACGTCTACTTCTTCTCCTTCTACTTCTTCTTCTTCTTTGAGTGTGGTTAACAGCCAAAGTGGATCTGCAGCAGGTCCAGACCCCGCTGCTGCTGCTGCTGCTGCTGCCGCAGCGGCAAGTGGTGGTGCAGGGACTTTTGGAACTGTTGCAGCCCCGGGCCCGGACCCAGCAATGGCTGGGCCAGGCGGCAGCTTTGCTTACATCGACAGGAAGGCGGCGCAGATTCCGTCCAAGTATGACGGAAAGGACGACGTCGAGTCTTGGATCAGCTCCATGCGATCCTACTTTGACGTGTTGGGGACACCCCCGTCCACTCAGTCGTCTATCCTAGGGACCAATGTGGAGCCCGTCGTGAGAGGTTTCTTGGAAACCCAAGCTGTCCAATCAGGCTATAAGAGAATAGACCTGAACAAATGGTTGAAGGTTACGCCTACTGCCGCATTTGAGGATCTCTTGATTAAACAATACGCTGATCCACATGCTGCAGCTAAAGCAAGACTCAAGCTTGATAAACTCAAGCACATCAAGTGGACCGGCACCATGCACATTCTGCAGCAGTATGTGAGTAAACTCTTTGCTACTCCGGATCTGGAGATGACTGCGCAGTCCTGTTTGGATGTGATAAAAGGAACAGTCCCCTCTACTCTAAAAGATCGCCTAGGGCTCGGGCTCAGCGGATATACAGATTGGCTTACCCGCATGCTTGACTTAGTCAAGCTGGAGGCACAAGACCTCCCGGGTGGATCAAGTGGCAAAAAGGCCACCAGCCGCAAACGGTTTTCAGGCAGCAACCGTTTTGCAACACATGATCTGCTTGAGGCTGAAGAGGAGACCCTCGTAGATGAATCTTCTCTTGATGACGATCAAGCGCAAGACTGCGGGGCATCTTGCTCTTTGTCAGCCCATGAGTCTGAGTATGTGAATGATGAAGAATCCATGAATGCCTTTAAGAAGACTGCCTTTAAGAGTAAGGGACCAAGGACCACAATGAAGAACAACACTAACACTATTCTTCTTCCTAAGGGGGCAAAAATTCCACCCAAACCGGAAAATCCTGCCACAAAACCATGGGTAGATCTTCGGATCAGTGAAAGCGAGTGGAAACACAGGGTGAAGAAAGGGGTTTGCCTGCATTGCACCAAACTGGGACATTCAGTCCAACAATGCTTTAGATTGCAGCAGGGAAACCAACAACGGGGGTAGAGGCATCATCGGCACACTCTACAGATGGAGAGGCTGAACATGTAAGTATCACTCCTTCTCTGGATTCTGATCCCACTCAGCAAACTTCTCCTAAGACCCCATCTGATGCTGATTCCAAGGCTGAGAAAATCCACATCCTATATAAAGAGCCTTGGGTAGATTCGGAAGAGATTGACTTCCATGCTCTGTTGACGCGCTGGGCTCATATGAAGCAAGAACGCGCGCAAGGGAGAACGAAGCTGGTTTGTTTCCACCTCGGAAGCTACTTCTACCTCTACTAAATCCATCTCTAGTCCAAGTGATTCTGCTGCAAAATCTGTTGTCTTGGCTGCACCTATGCAATCTGGTATGCTGGCTCCTGAGAGTGATGATCCCCCTCCRRAAATCCCACCRGAAATCCGCAACCTTCTCAACCGGTTCCCTGAGGTCTTGGCCGAACCGCATGGAGTTCCCGTGCGACCGGTCCGACACAAAATCGAGTTGATTGAAGGTAGCACCCCTCCAAAAGGCTGTGTCTATCGAATGGGCTCAGGCGAATTGGAGGAGTTGCGACGACAGATTGATGAGATGATTGGGAAGGGATGGATCAAACCCAGTGAGTCTGAATTTGGTGCACCAGTGTTGTTTGTTCCTAAGAAGGGAGGCAAACTGCGGATGTGTACTGACTACCGCAGATTGAATAGAATCACAAGAAAGAATGCATACCCTTTGCCACGTATCGATGATCTGCTTGATGCTGCAGGTGGTTGCAAAGTCTTCAGCAAGATTGATCTCAAGTATGGCTACCACCAGATTGAGGTCGAACCTGCAGAACAACACAAAACTGCATTCAAAACTCGCGATGGGCTGTATGAGTTTACAGTTATGCCCTTCGGTCTCACGAATGCACCAGCCACCTTTCAAAGTCTCATGGACAAAGTGTTTCGCAATCAGATCAACCGATTTGTTGTTGTATATCTGCATGACATTCTTATCTTCAACAAATCAATGGAGGAGCACATGAGACACCTTGAGGAAGTGATGCAGATCCTCAAGGACGCGCAACTCCATCTCAACTTGGAGAAATCTGAGTTTGGGAGGGACAGCGTCATCTACCTTGGACATCGGTTGTCTGCTGCAGGCCTAGAGCCCGAGGCAACCAAGGTTGAGGTCATTCAAAACTGGGCCCAACCTGCGAATGTCCGCGAGTTGCATTCTTTTCTTGGTCTTGCGTCGTACTACCGTAAGTTTGTGCCTAAATCATTGCCCGTCCATTGTCTAGACTAACCAGCAAGAATGTGTCCTATACATGGGATGAGGAGTGCATGACAACCTTCGAAGCACTAAAGGAGGCTTTGGTGAGTCATCCGGTGCTCCGCATTGCAGATCCCAAGCTTACATTCGTAGTAACTACGGATGCAAGTTTGTATGGGATTGGTGCAGTGCTGCAGCAAGATGATGGTGATGGTTTACGTCCGCTGGAATACTACAGCAAACKCATGCCCAGCCACAAGGTAGCTGCCTCCACTTACATGAGAGAGCTCTATGCCTTGAGAGAGGCACTAGACCATTGGAAACACTACCTCTTGGGTCGCCATTTCAAAGTGTTCTCGAATCATGAGACTTTGAAGTGGATTTAGACACAGATAAACCCATCAACTACGCTGACCCGCTGGCTGCATGAGATTGATGTGTACGATTTTGAACTAAAACACAAGAAAGGCTGCTATAATCGTGTTGCGGATGCTTTGTCTCGCCACCCTGAGTACATGACTTGCCTAGTGGTTTCCTACGATCTTCGCAAGGACTTACAGAAGGAACTCATTGAGCACACTGCCACGGATCCGGAACTCAGTCCCATCCTTGAGCAGATTCGGGCTGACCCTAGTAGTCAGCCTGATTTCCATGACTGTAAGGGCCTTCTCTTCCGACGCTACGGTAAGCATGACCGGTTGTGTGTACCCAACCATGAGCCAATCATCACTCACTTCTTGGATTTGGCTCATGGCCGGAGTGGACATTTCGGTGTTGAGAAGACATACGGGAATCTGTTGGAAAAGTTTGTGTGGCCTGGTATGAAAAGGATGGCGCGAAGGTTTGTGGCTGAGTGTGAAGTTTGTCAACGCATTAAACCGTCTCGGCAGAAGCCTTATGGGCTGCTGCACCCTCTTCCTATTCCTGACGGTCCGGGGGAGTCTGTTTCTATTGACTTCACGGACATGGGGAAGAAGAGCAGAAACGGTTATTCCCAAGTTATGGTGATTGTCGATCGTTTTTCGAAGTTTTTGAATGTGTTCCACTACCACCTCATGCCCCAACTGACCTTGTTATCAAAGAGTTTCACAAAAGATACATTCTGCAGTGTGGGCCCCCGGAAACTCTTGTGAGTGACCGGGACACTAGGTTCATAAGCGCAGAATGGAAGGACTTCACCTCCCAGGTCTATGACATGAAACTCAAGATGACAACTGGTCGACATCCCGAAGCCAATGGACTGGCCGAGGAGATCAACCAGACGGTGATACAACTTCTCCGAGCCTTAATTGTGCCTGATCAGAACTCTTGAGATGAGGAATTGCCAATCGTGCAGGGGTTGTATAACAACTCCATCCACTCTTCCACCGGGATGACGCCTAACCGACTGCATCTTGGATGGAAAATTCGCAATCCTCTATCCTACCTGTTCCCGGAACAGCCTCCTGGTCTGACACCTGGCCAGCCAGGCTACAGCGCTAAGTACGATCGGTTGCTCAAGGTTGCTGTCGCAGCTATGGAAAGGCGACGCAGTGCCATGATCAAACATGCAAACAAGAAGCGCCAGCCTGCGCCTTTCACAATGGGAAGTTATGTTTGGGTCAAAATGTCTGAGTTTTCTGAAGAAGAAGGTGTATCACGAAAACTTCTTCCTCAGTACTACGGTCCGTGGCAGGTCTTGAACCAGGTAGGAAGTGATTCCTTCGGTCCTTCTTACACGATTGATGTGCCTGCACATTTGCGCACATACCCAGTCTTTCATGCGTCAAAGTTGTTTCCGTATGAATCACCTGAGACTTTCAAATACCGAGAGTCAATGATTCCCCGTGCAATCAATGGTGGACATGAGGTTGATAGGATTGTCGAACACAGTGGGAAGGGAAGAAACAGACAGTACAAAGTCCATTTTCTGTACCATCCGTTGGACGATTTCTATTGGATTGCTAGGAAAGACTTGCTGCAGAGTGCACCGCGTGTCGTGAATGCCTATGAACGGTTGATAAGTGCTGAACAGCAACCAAAATTCACTGCTACCCTGACTCCTACGGAACACGCGCGATCTCTCTTTGCTATCTACGCCTATGATGCACTATGCAAGGACTCTGATTGAGTTACTCGCTCGAAGGGACCTCGCTCTTGAGGGGGGGGTAGTGTAATGACCCGTCAAAACACAGACTGAGAACACTGCTGATTTCTGAAGTTCTGCCGATGGAATGGATGCCTTGATGAGATTCCCGCATTCTGCTGTGTTTTCTAAGTCTGTCTCTGGGTGTGTGCTTGTGACCTGCATGCCTGTCTGAGTGCTTGTCGGTATGAGTGCGTGTGTGACCCGCAAGGGTAATTGCTTGTTTGGTAGGCCCGTAGGGGCGGTACTTACCTGTGGCCGTGGCATTGAGGGTTGTAGCAGGGAAAAACACTGAAGTGGCGGAGCTAGCGGCCCTGAGGCCCTTGGGGTAGGGGAAAAACACTCAAGTAGGCCGGTAGGCCGATACTGCACCCCACTGCAGTTGGCATTTTTAGAGTCCAGTAGCGGTAGGGTAGGTCTAGGCCGGTACCAGTCCAACCAGTCTGAGTCTAGAGCCTGTACGGGTAATATCAGGGTCTGCAATGATGTTTCCCTCCGAAACGGAGGAAGTACCGGTTGCTTGGAGAGGCCGAGCGGCCTGGAAGTCACCGCCCAAGAGGCAAGCAGGCCGCTATATCTAGAGGCGGAGGCTAGAGCTCCGCCTCATTCTTCAGTGTGCGAGTTGGGCGTCACGCTGCTGGAGCGCTAGGTGGTGTAGCGCTGGGCACTACAGCGCTGCTGGGAGGAAGAAGCCGGGAGCTTCCACCTTGGCTATGGTGGAGCTCTACCGGTAGGAGGAGGAGGGAGAAGGGGACCAAGGAGGAGAGTGGCGAGGTACTTACTGGCTATGGTAGACACCATCTTTATCTCCTTGCTAGGCGCTGCATCAGGAAGGCCCCAGTGGGGGTAGTGCCGCATCAAGGAAGCTCGGACAGAGTCAGGCATGGCGGTTGAGTGGGCAGCGGTATAGCTGCTGGGTGATGAGCTTGAAGAAGGGCAGCGGTGTAGCTGCTTGGGGTTGTCTTTKGTACCGGAGGCTGAGGCCTCAGTTGTCCGCCATAGCCTCGGCCTGTATGTGGAGGAAGAAGAAGGGCTGCCATGGCTATGGTGGACCTCATCTTGTGCCTGCAGTAGAAGTGGGATTCGGACATTGATTCTGGTTCAGCTGTTCAACATTATTATTGTTTATTTATTGTTGAATAAGAGAGGAGGAGATAAAGAGGAGGAGGTTGTTGAGCGAAGAAGAAGAGCTTTGTCTTTGGTCTATGCTGGAGTACATCATCTCTTTCTTCTTTCTTAATTCTTCTTCTTCTTYTTTCCCTCTCTCTCCTCTCAAGTTCTTTCATTTCTTTTGCAATTGGACGRCATTGGGCTCAAGTTCATTCATTTCTTTTCGCAATTGGACAACATTGTACTTTCTGATGATTGTGGACTTCAAAAGTGGCCAGGATCGTAACATAAAGCAGTCCTTCGGGACATCCGTTAATATTGGAATGACACAGAGAGAGAGGATTAGCATGGCCCCTGCACAAGGATGACACACATGAATCGAGAAATGGTCCAAATAATCCCAAATTATTTATTGAGAAAGAAAAGTGAAACAGCTTTTTTGAACTTCTTTTCATGTTTCCGCGTTGGAGGATCTCTAGAGCAAAAGAGTGGTCACTATTCACTGTTCGCTGTTCAGTAACATTCTTGGCAGACTTTTTTTTTTTTTTTTTTTTTCTGCTTTCAATTGTATCACCCGTGCACAGGGGCCATCATGCTAATCTTCTCTGCATTCTTTGTTCCGATTTTGGCAGATGTCGCGAAGGACCACCACCCTTGGCTGACTTGTATTCCGAGCTCCATCAAACCAAGAGTGACTGCTTGATGTAACCAGCATCCAAATCATGTGCATGCTGTCCATGTCTTTCGCTGAGAATCCCAATGTGCTTGACGTCAGTACTGCTAAGTTGTGCTAGCCCTTGTATCAGTTAGTGGTGGCTTTAATTGAAGGTTGGTACCACTAGCTACAGGTCGGTAAGACTTACTCAAGGTCGGTACGACTAACTCAAGGTTGTTGTCACTGACTTAAAGTCAGTACCACTCAGTAATAGGACTTGTATCAGTCAGCGACTGCTAACTCAGGGTTAGTACCACTACCTCAAGGTCTGCGGAATAACACTGGAATTGACTCGGGATTGGCACAAATGAATGATGGCATATTTATCAGTCAGTGGCTGCAAAGTCCAGGTCGGTGCCACTACCTAATAGGGCTTGTATTAGTCAGTGGCTGCTAACTAAAGTTTGACGTCGCTGACTCAAGGTTAGTACCACTAACTTATAGCATGTGTATCAGTTGATGGCTGTGACCTTAAACCACCAGTACATGGCCTCTCCGAACCCGTTTTGAGCCTCCCCGAAATTTAGGAGGCCGACCGCCGTAGATAAAATGAATTAGCAGTGTCCGGCCTCCAAAAGGGGCCTGCGGCGACCGATAGCTGGCATGTACTGGTGCTTTAAGATCGGTACCACTAACTCAAGGTTGGCACCACTACCTCAAGGTCAGCGCCTCTTGCTGATACAAGTAGCTCCTTCTATTGACGTTGAGCGCGATGCAACAGTCACTGCTCTCATCAGAATTGTCTCCAGAAAAGCTGCTTTTGTCACCTGAGTGCTTCAAAATCTCCCATTTCCAGCCCCACGTATAATACCCCTTGCCTGGGAAAACATGGTATGGTATCTGGCGAGTCTGTCAGCGCGTTCTACATAATATGGTATGAGAATGCTTCTTGTTCGGTGAAGCTACCAGAAATCCAAAAGCTTGCAGTCCTAACTCCTCGAGTGCAAGGTTGGACATGGAAGTGTGAGACAGTGAGAGTGAGTGAGTGAGTGGGAAAGAGAGGCAATAGGGCGAGAGAGTGAGAAAGAGGGTGAAAGGGAGGTAAGGGTGGATCACTGGGAGAGTGAGCGAGAGAGAGAGAGAGAGAGAGAGAGAGAGAGAGAGAGAGAGAGAGAGAGAGAGAGAGAGAGAGAGAGAGAGAGAGAGAGAGA